TGTTGAACATTTTTTCATATGTTTATTTGCTGCTTTTACTTCTTTGTCTGAGAAATGTCTGTTCATTTCAGATGCCCATTTTTTCAGTTGGGCCTTTAAATTGGGGGTGGGTCTGACTTTTTAAAGTTCTTTATGTATTCTAGATAGTAGTCCTTTGTCTGAGGAAGAGCAGATAAAACTTTTTTCCCACATTGTAGGTTGTCTCTTAGCTCTGTTGGTGGTTTCTCTTGCAGTACAGAAGCTTTTTAATGAGATCCCAATTGTTGATTCTTTGTGCCAATTCGCATGCTACTGAAGCTTTGTTCATAAAGTGTTTTCCTATGCCATGTCTTCAAGAGTTCTACCTAACTTATATGCCAGTAAGTTTAGTGTTTCTGTTTTAATATTTAGATCTTTAATCCACTTTGATTTTAGTGTAGTGCGTGGTGATAAATATGAGTGTAGTTTTAATCTTTGGCAGGTTGAAATCCCGTTTATCCAACACCATTTACTAAATAGGCTATCTTTCCTCCAGTGAGGATGGTTGGTTCCTTTGTCAAAGATGAGGTGGCTGAGTGTGTCTGCAGTTGTTTCTGCATCTTCTAATCTATTCTGCTGATCCTCAGGTCTGTTTCTTTGCCAGTACCATGCTGTTTTTATCACAGTGGCTTTGTAGTATAGTTTCAAGTTGGGGATTGTGATACCTCATGTCACATCTCTGTTGCCTAGAATGACTTTTGCTATTCTAGGTCTCTTCTGGTTCCAAATGAATTTTTGGATTGTTTTTTCTAGCTTTGTGAAATATACTCTTGGGAGTTCAATTGGGATTGCATTGAATCTATATAGTTGTTTTGGAAGTATGGCCATTTTCACTATACTGATTATTCCTACCCAGGAACAAGGGATGTCTTTCCATTTTCTTATATCCTCTTTGATCTCTTTTTTCAGAGTGCTGTAGTTCTCAATGTAGAGGTCTTTCGTTTCCTTCATTAGATTGATTCCTAGATATTTCTTTTTGGGGGGTGCTATTGTGAAAGGAATTGTTTTTCCAATTTCTCTCTCAGTGAGTCTGTTATTTGTTTATAAGAAGGCTATTGATTACTGAGTGTTGACCTTGTGTCCAGCTACTCTACTGAATCTGTCAATTAAGTCTCCAAGTCTTTTGGCAGAGTTTTTTGGGTCTTCTATGTAGAGTATCATATTGTCAGCAAATAAGGACAGTTTAACTTCTTCCTTTCCTATCTTTATTCCTTTTATTTCTCTTGTCTAATTGCTGTGGCTAATGTTTCCAGAACTATATTGAACAAGAGTGGTGATAGAGGACATCCTTGTCTTGTTCCTGATTTTAGCATGAAAGTTTTCAGTTTTTGACCATTTAGTATGATGTTGGCTGTTGGTTTTTCATAGAT